TCTAATATACAACACACCTTTGCCCCTAGCGAAGAAATGAACCGCCTGCTCTTTTCCAGGGCCGTCCTGCACCTGGTTTGCGCCCAGTTTGGGTTTCAGAAAAGGGCAGTTTTTTTAGTGGTTCACTGAGTCCGACACCGTTTATATAATTAGGTAAATTAGGCATCTGGAAAGCTGGACCGCAACGAGCTAGTGTTGGCTTAAGCAACACATGTCTCGTGGCCAGGTTACATTACCATGACCGGAGAGGCGAGGGTGATGGGGCCGGATGGGGCTTATATCGGCCGATGACACTAATTTCTGAGATGCCCAGCACTTGGGACACTGTTCTTGGACAAAGCCTCGTCTCAGTAGCCTGGGTGCTTCTCAATGTCAGTGCCCTGCCATGAGCATTTTGCAGTTGCATTGGGCTACGATAACTTTTACTCCTTTGCAATCGCTCGGACGTTTCCTTTTAAGCTTTTTTTTTGGGGTGCTGTAGGCTTTGATGTCATGATAACGAGATTCTACTAGCTGGATCATCCAAGGGGTACCCAATGGAAGCCTATAGGTAGTGTGGAGTTACTAGTCCATTGGACACCCAGACAGGATGGTCCTGGTAGGATGATCGGATATTAATGAATCTTACAAGTAGTCCCAATCAGGGGTCACTCCTGCGGGGTCACCCCATTGGACCTCGAGAAGTTGAACCACCGAGTCACGAACGAGCAAGCTGAGCAAGCGGTTTGCACATGCGCTGCAACGCGCAGTTAGTGCAACACCCACCGTTAGTGGCCAGTTGGCCCAGCGGCGTCACGGTTCACCGCAGGATGGATTTCCTCAATTCTTTGAGGCGGGCACTGCCGAGGGTCCACGGCACCAGTTGGTCTTTGCTCCGGAGGGTCCGGAGCAGGAGGGCCGTATGAAGAAGTGCAGTGCTTCGGCCTCTCCAGGATTCAAAAGGCACTCTTGTATTTCGATGATTCAAGCTGGAGCATGGAAACCCTTCAGAGACCCAAGAGGCAGACTTCCCCACCAACACATACACCATTATATATGCTAATGAGTCAATTTCTTCATGTTCTCCATTTGCCTATCTCTCTCTCTCTCTCTCTTCAGCTGTTGCGTTCACTTCCGGTCCTAAAGCCACGTTTGCGTTTCACTCGCACGTGGCTAGGTGGCACAGATCCAGCTGAAGATGCCCTCAGAGCACTTCATTGATTCTCAAGGTTTCGGTGCGGAGCTTCAGATTGTCCACAGGCAGGGGCCCTGCTTCGTCGACCGGTCGAGTTCGAGAGCTCGACGTAAAACATACATGGTGGCATCAGGTGACTGAGAGCACATCAGGTGACTGGGAGCACCACGTGCTGTTCGTCACACTCCTTTCACAATGATGTTTGAAGGCTTCCGCGAAATGATGAGAACGTGTTCTGCAAAAACCGCAAGAACCAAGCCAACATTGGTTCAGTAGAAGGGATGTCCCCCGCCAAGACGACTTTCTGAATACAAAGGCTGAGCGGCGGGGTTCCACTTCCATTGGTCCATGCATGTTTGTCTGGAGGGACTGTATCAAGAGATCAATTTTTTTTAACCGTCCCAATTTCTCAGTGTTCCTTTCTTCATCTTTCTTGATGAGCATGTAGCTTTAACATCATGGGGCCCAATAAGCCTGCAAACAAATCAGTAACAAAGCAGAGATTTGCCGCCTTGAGTAGCTGCAGCTCATCCAGAAAGTTTCTCTTTGCTTCGGACCTCAGACCTTGCTCATGAGATCTCATGAGACAATCTACTGTAGCTTCGAGTCATGGAAGATTCACCTCATTTGGGATCCATCCCCCCGCCCGGTGAACGCGACGCGACGTGACGTGCCGTGACGAGTCAGGACGTCGTGCTCACGTCGTTCGAGCTCATGACATCGAAACCATAAGGCATCTCTTTGTGCTACAACTTGGGTGCGTCCCATCACCTCTAACATAGTCCATAAAGACTAAATATACTAAATAGATTAAAAAATAGATCACTATTCAGAGAAAGGCCTCCACAGGGAATGGGATATATACCCAAGCTACAACATCGATGCCCCTTCCGGCCTGGAAATGGCCTTCCTCTTGCCCCTCTCCGCAGAGAAGTCGAGCCGAGGGGCTCGCACGGGGCATGGGTCCTCCGCGCCTCTCTCCAAGCGACGGACGATGCCAGGAATCAACAAACCGTGACGCAAGGCATCAACTCGGCGGATTCCTTTCCCTTTGCTCCTCGGTCCAGGTTCAGGACCTTCTTTCGGTTCTGGTGGAGGCTGCTACGATGCGAGGGGGTGGTCGGATGGTGGGCGGAAAAGGCTTCGGTTCTGGTTCAGTCGATCAGCTGCAAAAAACCCGTGTTGAGGGGGGAAGATGGAAAACGGGTGACCTTTAGTGGTTCCAGGGGAACGACGGTTCGGCCGTTTTCAGCCGGTCAAACAGTCCAAATCAGTCCAACATCCAGTGCAGGTGCGCCACCCTGAAGGGGTCCCAATGCCGAAGGGGCGTTGTAGTAAGCCCATTCTCCTGAGGAGAGTTGCAGAGCTCAAGAGAAGATGAGAAGAATACACATCCTACTCCTAAGATGTTTATGATTGATGCCCTGCCCGAATATCCTCTATAGAATCTAGGAGCTCTATAGGGGGATTGTTATGGTATATGCGACATGTTTGTGTTTCTTTTCTTTGGATCCTTTTCTTCGCAAATTCTAGCAGCCAGTTTGGCCTGCTCTCTGAAAGGGGTGAGACTGCCAAGGCAAGATTCCTTGGTTGCTTCCAAAAGATTCATGTGGGTCAGGCAGTTTGGAGTGATAGCAAATACATGCACTTACATTTACACGCATCTACAGATACTGTACATGAAAAGGATTTAAAAGGGCCTGCCATTTCGATGTGGTTGCGAAGGCTAACCGAGGCGGGAGGATGGGTCAAGCAAGACTTGCACCCAGGTCACCACATCCTTTTTCTTTGAGATCGGCGACAAGGAGAGCCGCTTTGACAGCTTTTAATGGTGAGGAGCATGCACAAGGGGCTGTGGTGCCAAAACGCGGGAATGTTTGCACAGCAGCTGTTTGTTGGTCAAGTTTCCTTGGTTGCGAGATATTCTGAAGAAAGCCGCGGCCTTGCGGCAGCCTTTCTGCGAGGTGAGTGAGAAACACAGCTGTTGTACTTATTTTTTGTGTGATGCCTTTGGATGGGAAGGTTATGTGGTTCCATGGGCTCTTCTTCTACGGCCTAGACGACATAGAGGATTTGATGTGCACTCATCGGTTCTCATTCATTTCGACATGCGCCGTGCAGCACTTGCGTGTGCGCCAAGGTACTTTGCTGAGGCAGTGGCTTTGCTGAAACTCTTGGATTTCCGGATGGGACGACTTTCCTTGGGTCAATCATCGATAGACTTGAAGAAGGGACTTCGAAAGGAGTCAGGCAGGTTTTAGTCTATACCTTCCACTCACTTGGGAAGATTAACTTTCAATCTGAAAATGAACCATTGTAAGACCAGCTTCCTACACAAACCAGTGGTCTTTAGCTTCCATCTGGGTCGGACGCGGGCCGTCTCAGACTTCTCCAAGCGTTCAGTGTCGAAGCTTCGATCATTTCGTTCGAAGACCTTCCAGTCCCAGCTAAGCCAGGTGGAGTATCAGTACCAATAGATGTCTCTCGAATACTCCTTGCAGCAAACCCAAAATCGCTTTCATACGCGTTCGCATCGCCTTTGTTGTTTTTTCGCATCGCATGATGCCGCAGGTTCTTCAGGTTTACTCTTCCAGCTGAGGCTTTTTCTTCCAGGGATTTTGGAGGCGGACACCTATCGAAGCTCGGCACCACCGGACCTCTCGGCCGCTTCGGACCGAACGAGGCTGGCACGTCGTGGCGGACGGTGGGGGCGGTCGGATACGACGTCGATCAGTGAATGGTTGGATTTCTTGATGAATACTATAACCATATTGACACCTCATTACCTAACGTGGAATGTAAATCAGGCCGGTCACAGACACCAGAGACCCCTTCCATCCTGCGGTGCGCTTCGATCCTCGACGTTGAAGGGGCCTTTTTCGGTCCAGGGTGCCGAAAAAACGTGCACCTGGTCCCCGAAACCGAAACGGTATATAGATATTTACCAATGTTGTTTTTTTTTAATAAACCAATGATGTATTATATGTATACTTTAAATAGAAGACTCAAGAGATGTGTTGATGATTCCCTGCAAGCCCAGACAACCAGAATCTAAATGGAAGTGGCTGGCTGTTTGGGGATGACATCCTAGTGTACGACACTAGTCACTAGACGAGAGTGTGGTTGTGGCGGGGGGGCGTCTTTTGTTTCACACCAGCTATCCTGGACTATGCGAACTGGCATGCCAACTGGGAGCCTTGCACATGAGTTATGCACCTCCGACATGCCAGTTCGACTTCAAAAATGAAGGGGACTTATGCCGCTTATGCCACATTTCTTTTGAGGTTTCTATCCATGTGGCCATCTAAAATTAGTTGATACTAGCCCAAGTATCTCCACCATGTCTTCCTCAGGTGTCATCCCACAGCCCTTAGATTTGATGCGGCATTTGGGCCCTGCTTTGGATGGTGCGCGGGGCGTTCCGGGCGCAGAATTCCGGGTTGTGGCGCAGGTGGACAAGACGAACGGACCGAGGGCGAAAGCATCGAAACCGGGAGGATGATTGAACCACTGTACATCGCAGGTGAGTCCGTCATGTCCAGCGGAACCCTTGAAACTTTCCCCTCTTGTTGCATGTTGTTGCGACGCAAAAAAAAAGGCGGATCTCTTTATGGTGACCGATCTGGAATATACTATATGTTCCTGCTCAATGTTGGATGTTCAGAGGCTGCTGGATTGATTCCGGAGCTGCTAAACTGGTTCTTTCCTTGTCCCCTTGTCTTCATTCAGATCCAAGTGATCCAAGTGACCGGAATTAGGAACCAGCTTCTTCTTCTTGTGGGGATGCTAACAAATGTCAGTGTCCGCAGGACAAGTACCTTTGAGCCTTTTGGGGGAAACGGTTTCCCCACTCGACAGAAACAGGTGGAAAAAGGTTATATGCAGTTTCAGGCATTGGCACCTCACGATATCCTCTAGATAGGGTTCCATCTCAACCACCCAACCTCTGACATTTGTGCCATCTAGTCTCAACCCACTTACTGTATTAAGTTGTAGACTTATACAATCTTTATTTTATCAGGATCTCCCGCACCGGGAGTGTTGCTACTTGCTACTTTGCTACTTGAACGGCTCAAGCCGAGCGTCACACCATCGGCCCGGAACTGCACGGAACCCGAGCCTCGGCTGGCGGTTTTGATTCGAGCCTTTATTCGGAGAGCTCGTCCAGGTAAGTCGCCTTGTGTCACAGGCATTGACCCATCATGTTTCATCCATCACTTTCACCTTCATGAAGCTCAGTCTCATTTGATCTCTATCCATCACATTTTTTATATGTTGTTGGGGGAAAAGGACAGCTCATCACCGCATGCATTTCTCCGCTTGCTGCGTGGTCCTGTTTCCCTCCCGAGGGCGTCTTCCAAAGGAAGGAGCAGTGCCTGCGGAGCGTTCCATGGCGGACGACCTCGAAGAGGAGACCGAAATCCTCGAGGACGTCGATGAGGAGGAGACTGAAGACGTTCAGGCCACGGTCGCGGACGCCCACGGCCGCCATGGCTGCCACGGGGACTTACTTGGTCTGCGAGTCGTGTTTGTTTTTTGGGGGGTCAAATGGTCAGGAATGGTTAGGAGATGATGGGAAGCATAGAAGCCTCGCAGGTGATACAATAGGTCATATAGATTTCATCCATTGACAGGCCTGATGGAGGGTGCTCTTAAGATGCACCATCTTGTTCTTTGCAGGAGGGATAAAGGGCGGTCAAAGAGTTGTGGCAGGGAACCTGTGAGTTCTGTGCTCCCTCCCTCTCCTTCTCATGGGACTCATGGGTCAGAAGCAATTTTGTTCACCCTCTCCTCGGCCAGGCGGAGGAGAGTGAAGACAACGAAGACAATGCGTCAGACCCCGGCGAGGGTAGTGTTCATGGGGAGACGGTGACCCAGGCGCTACCAGCGCAGTGGGGCCGTCTTTGGCGTCTTCGTTGAGGGCCGATTGGTGATGTACAGACAGTTGATTTCTAGATAAAGCCGCCGTCTTAATGAAGAGGTTTGAAGCAACAGTCCTCAAGAAGCAACAGTCTACACTAGGGGTATGACAGAATGACAGACCCCTGAACTTGGTGCCTGTGGGAAATGAGTTCGGATGAGTTCGGGGAAAACCCATCCATGTACTGTGCAGCCTGTAAAGAGCACCCATTCAGAGTTCAACCTTTGATCACCTTCGTTCTTCTTCCTTCTTACCAGCTGAGTTCAGCTTACGAATCCGTCCATGTTCGCCAGGATGAGGTTCTGGAGAAGTACAAAGCACCCTACGATCAAGGCCTGGACCGCGTGAAGTTCCCCGCCGACATCACTCAGGAGGCGCTGCTGCTCGCTGCCCATACGTCCGGACGGACCGGTGACGGACCGCTGGACCACTATGGACCCTGCGAATGGACCCGTGCTTCAGACCATCTAATGCCCGCCGCAAAACGCGGTGGTTTTGGATGATTTATGGGTTCCATGTTAATCTGCAAGGGGGTAAACCTATGGAGCTCCCATGTCCATAAAGACATAAAGCCTACCAAAAGAAGGATGTACAGCGTTTTGTCATCAAACCAGTCCAGTGGACCACGACTTGACCGCCTGAAGAACATTTTGCAGAGGGTTCCTGGCACCCAGGCCCCGGGCCACCATTGAAAAATGGAAGTAATCGTTGGTGTAGCTGTTTTTCGCTCAGCTCAACTGGGCAGGTTCGTCACCACTAAATCCCTAACTAGATGCCGCATCATAGGTCGTAACATGCAAAACACCTTCGACATGGGTGTGCTGAAGCATGTTGATCCTTGAGCTTTGTGTGTTTAACCGTTTAACCTTCACATCCCTTCACCCGGATGTTCGTCGGGGCCGGCACATAGAGCTTCAACATGGCCGTAGGACACGTGGTCGGTCAGTCAGCTAGTTGACTGAAGCACTGATGAGTTGGCGAGTGGTTGTGAAAAGGGCAACGTTGATTGACCGGGTTGGGATTGACCTCCAAGCCCGCCAGATCCAGCGGACGTGGCAGAAGTTCCTAACTCTTGCAGGCGTGGGCAACGGGCTGCCTGGGACGGTTGAGAAGATGCCTGCAAAATGATACCTTTTTGGGGTGTGGTGCTAACAGCAACTTCAAGTGAAGACAGCAAAAGCTCACATCACAGGATCACAGGGGTGCGTGCTTGGGCCTGGGGGTGACATCATGCACTCTGGTTCACTCTCCAACTCTCCACCTTTTTGGTGGCGCGCGGTGTAATCAAGACACAACCCTGATGGGAACATGGAACCGACAGCAAGTATTGTAGCATGATCATCTTCGTTTTGAATGTGTTCTATCTTCACTATACTATACCAGACTTGGACCGTGCAGCTGGAATTCATGGGATGTGTCTCTAAGCATAGACGCGTCGAATTACATAATGACAGGCAAGCACCTGAGGGAAGTTGCATCAGCATGATCATGCAGCATGGTCCTTACACTTACACTTAGAGGCGTGCTGCGCCTGGGGGATGCAGCTGGGATGCGGAAACTGCCTTCTTTTTTCTCCAAGGTTCCCTGCTAATGCCTCCACTTTCTAGGCGATTCCTGCCGCGCGGAGGGCATCCTTCATCATCATCATCATCATCATCATCATCATCATCATAATCATAATCATGACAGCTTGTTGATAATTATAGAGTATAATACTGTATATATAGTATATATTTTTACTGTTTTTTTGGAGGCATCGCTCATGTAGGGCCACCGGCTAGACCGAACGGCTGTTGGAAAGTGTAGGGACCCAGCTTACTTCGGGCATCCGATGTTGACCCCCGACGGGTGACCGGGAACCTTGCCCAGGTTCACCGGAACACGCGGGGGAATTGATCTTCAACGCCTGGTGGGGAGCCGCCCCCTCCCTTCACTCGTGAGGAGCTTAAAGGGAGCGAGCGAAAGGTCGAGCTCGCCTGAAAGCGAGGTTCGCGACACATCACTACACATGCAGGCTGCGGAGAAGTCAGAGTCAATCGATCACCTATATAACACTAACACATACTAACACATTATAAACCCCTCTGAACCTTTCTGGTATGTCCTTAAAGTATCCACCGTCAACATCCATCAGAGCCAGCCACCGCGCCGCCCTGACCCATCCTGACCCCCGGGTCCCACCCGAGGTCCTTTCTGACACCACGGACGGTGCTCTACCTGCGGCTGGTGCAGGGGATCTCGCCAGTGATCTCAGCTTTGTACCACCCGACCGAATTGAGGACCCAGGCCGACTCCGGTCGGACGGGCTTGGCGGTTTGGGAGGTCGTGGGGTCGGACGCGACGCTTGCAAAACGCATGGGTAAACCGGTGACCCATGGCCATATAGACCATAGATATCCATAGATGATGATGGATGGTGATAGATGGTGATAGACGGTGTGCGTCCAAAACGGCCTTGGGGTGGGTTGGGGTCTTCGCTGGTTCCTGTCACTGTGCTGGGGTCCAAGCTGCGCGTGGGCAAGTTGACTGCAAGATTCACTTCCTTCAGGAGTACAGCGTAGACCAACAGCTTGCATTTCTGATCATCATGATTCATCATGCAACCTTAAAGGAGTACGGCTTACACCTAAGGAGTACTTCATATCATCTGATTCACTTCCAAAGGAGTAGGTAAGCCTGAAAGGAGGCAGTTCCAGACCACACTGGCCCGACGCGTTGCCGCTCAGCGGTTGCCCGCCTTGCAGATCGAGATCATCTCCTTCCGTCACTTGGATCGGCCCGTGAGCACCCAGGCGGGACCTGTGACCGTGGCCGGCCAAAGGGAGGTATAATAGTAGTTTCTTTTCCCTAGTAGCTTCTTGTTACTATTAGTAAGGCCCCTAGTAGCGTCCTTGCTCCGTTCGTAGCGATGCCAGGAGCCCCGTTCGTAGCTGCTCGTTCCTAGTCAGTTCAAAGTAGATGGCACAAGTCAGCTTCTAGCTACTAGTAGTAATGGCCTCCGACCTACTAGCGATGGCCTCCAACCTAAGAGCTTCTAGCTAGTAGTAATGTCCATGAATGTCACTGAATGTCCATGAAAACTTCTCCTTTATTGTATGGGGTGTTGAGATGCTGTCACATCTTACCGCAGATCCATTTCGCTACTGATGGGGATGATGGGGGTGTCAATTGTTTCAAGAGCTCTTCAGTTTATATACCTGGACCTTAGATTACCTTTGCACATTTTTGCTTGCCGTCTTCGGACGTTGTGAACGATGACAGGTGATGAAGCTCTGGGTGATTCATGGACACACTCACCTGCCCTGCACCAGCCAAGGTCTCTGACTTCCTGTTCTACTCATTGGAATTCAATATGTGTTTGAGGTTTTCAGTCAGGGTGTACAGGATCTGCCTTCGGACTCACTTCCACTGGCAAAGACACCACTGGCATGGGATTCCATGGTGTGGCTTTCCCTACTCAAATCATACCTGCCAGTCACATCCAATGAACATCCGTTGGATCCTTGGCCGCTTCGCAGGGCGTGGAGATCTTGCGGGATGCCATGCTGGACATGTGGGAGGCGGAGCTGCAAGGAGACTTCACTCCCAAGGTGCCTTTTGGGGTCGGAGGGAGGCGATAGAGGTGGAGAGGGAGGACCTACCGCCAGGGCCAGCTGGACCGAAGGGGGACCGAGGGTGAAGGAACAAGCTCAGTACCCTCTCTACAAGCTCGGTGCTACCAATGAGGGACTGGTCCCGATTTCCTCAGGTCCAGGACTCGCAGGACGGTCCAATGGGAGTGGTCATAGTAGTGGACGTGTGACGTGGGCGCATCGGCTTCGTGACGTGCTTTTTTTTTTAGAGAAAAGACCACTTACAGGAGTGGTATGGGAAATTGAAAGGTCAGGCATGAAAGGTCGTCTGCAGCGGTTTTCAGCGGCAGAACGCCAACAGTCCTCTTGGAGGTAGGCTTCGGAGCCGGATGCGATGCAGGGAGATTTCAAGGTACTGATCTTTTTTGTTCTTGTAGCCCCCTGCAGGATTTGAAACCTTGGAATGGTGTCAAGTGGAGCCGATCGACAGTACCGTTCCACGTTCTGGCTCTGCAGGCTCGCCTTGGCTGGTTTTCTCTCCTGAACTATTGGGGCGGAGCACTCTGCTATTTTCAACGCGAGCCGCCTGGCCACAGCGTGGTGCTGGGGGCTGGTGATGTGGTGAAGACGGGCCCCCAAAGCAAGTTCTATGTTCCACTGGTTTGCACTCCTCCACCGCAGCGTCGGAGTTCCTGAGGCACGCGACGCGCATCAAGATCATCCACCGCAGCTGGCGAGAGGCCAACAAGTCGGTGGCACTGCCAGAAGAAGAGGAGGAGATGAGATGCGAGACGTGAGAGCACCAGTGAACTGAACAAAGGTGTTCTAGCTGCCCATTCTTCATCACACTGGGAAAGGGGTTCTAGCTGTCCAGATTTGCAACAATCTTTTGATGTAGACCATCACTTCATCAATGGGATAAACATGGATAAACTGATTAACTTATAAACAACGCCTCAGCATCCTCACCCTGTGGGCATGTATCTTAACAGCTAGTCTCAGGTTGTTGGGTCATTCACCTGAATCGCCAGCCAAATCCCAGTTCACCTCAGGAGATGCAGCAGGGGGAAGGGGCCACTGAGGACGGCGAGGCGGGTGGCGAATTCTCGGACCAAAAGGGCTTGGACCAGGCCCAACTGGATCTCCAGAAGTTCCACCAACCGCGCGACCAGCAGTCTTTTCCACCACCAAAGCGTGTTGTACCGACCCTTTTTTCTTGGACTGCGACTGGGGTCGCCACGGACTCCAAAGTGACTTCGCCTCGACTGGGGGGCGACAAGGTCGCCAGTGCTTGTGACGCCCTGACCTGTCGTGAGGGTGTCCTAGTTGGTTTTCCATCGAAGGAAGCCCATCTGTGAAGCACGAGTCTGTTGATGATGAAAGGGATGATTCTTGTGGTGGGTTTAGTGCAGGGGGGTCCTTGAACAGGTGTGTCAAGGACACGCACACACACACACACATATATATATATATATATCATATATATATATAACTATATATACAATATATAATATATAAAACATATACTACAACGCCATATAAAACAAACACCTTATACTCGTATGTGTCTGACATATGTCAACATATGTATGTGTAAATCCACTTAAAATAACTATATACCGAAAATGTATGCAGTCAGCACTGACGTCAAACCGAAATCCTGAAGCACATAGAATACGGAATTGGGGGTCCACACCCTACATGGGCATCTTCCGGAATTGAAACCCACACGGGTACTTGGAATATTTGCATCTTCCGAAATTGAAATCGAAACATATACTTGGAATACAAAAAGCATCTTCCAAAATTAACAAAAATGTACTTGGAATCTCGTGGATTGTGAACACTGAACACTTGACATCTTCAGGACCTTTGTATCAGTTACCTCTTGTTGCAGCCATTCTTGCTGCACAAACACCTAAGGGGTTAGAACGTTGGTAGTTGTTGCCATGGGAGAAGATGTCCTGCAAAGGGTGCTGCCAGAAGCGGACAGTGACGGATACCGAAGGGTAACTAGTTCTGATACGTAGAGTATAATTAAGCATCCAAGGGTGCCAATCGCTGCAGTGGTGGCCAAGGAAAATGACTCTTGGTCTCCTAAGGCACCTTCAGAATTGAAAACATTTGTGACACATTCTAAGTACATGGCCGACGGTTTTAAACAGAGACGCATCTTATTGACATATTTTTTGTACCGGTCGGTATGTTCTATGTATTTTTATTGGGGCCGCTTAATTGAAATGTACCTTAGTTGTAAGTATTCCCGGATAGTTGTATATATATATATATGTATATATGTACATAGATGCACATGATGCATCGCAACGTACACACATACACATGTATTCATAGTTAACATTAAGTTGGTATATATATATATGTATGCTCACAGACTCACAGTGTTTAGTTATTCTGCAAATATGTATATATCAACTCAACCATTTCGTGCCAGAACACCCACCTGATGATTCCCACCATTTTACCGCGGTGGTTTTGCGGTGCTTTTTCTCACGACCACTACATGAAGAAGGCACCCAACACACAGACACACATGCGCACACGGACTTGCGCTGTGGGATTGCACTCCGTCCCTACTCCGCGGTCCGGTCCCTCCGTCCCTCCGGCCTTCCGGCGCGAAAAAAGCCGCGTCGCCGGACACGGCCGTGGCCCAGTCTGGCGCCATGCCGATGGAGAGCCAAGAACGGAAGGAGGAGGCCGTCAAAGAGGCCCTGCTAGGGTCCGGTCTGGCCGGATGTTTAATGGGAGAGAATGAAAGATCCACTGGTGGAAGGTCTTCCTAGACTCAGGTTGGGGGATCAGGGGGACAGCAGAAGCAACACCCCGAACTCTTGAACTTGAGCTTCTAACATCAAGTAGAGAAAATGGTAGACCAAGTTTCGATACTGCCGTCCCTCAGGCAGAGGATTTGGAGGCCTAACACCAGTTGTTGGACAATGTGAAGCATAGATCCACCACCTGTTCGCGTTCCGCCACTTCTGAATCTTCTGACGAGCTCACCCAGTTCACTATGGCTAAGACTCCTAGGCCAATCCCCAGATGAACAGATTCCCACTGAACTGGGCTATCTTGACAGCCTGCGAACGGCCTCCCTTCAGCGCCATACTCCACTTGTGACATGGGCCGGGCCGTAGGTGGTAGAGGATGATGCGGCGAGTGAGGACAAGAAAGGTCATGGAGATTCAAAGATGAAGGCAGGACATGGCGGGACCATGCGGGACCGATCTCTTTTCGCGCCCGAACTCGGACCACTCCACGGCGGGACCGGGCTCTTTTTCAGACGGAGTCAGACCGTCGTGGCTTCTCATCCGTTTCGCATCCGGCACAGCCGTTGAACCGTTGAACGGTCGAACTCCTTAAGGGTCAAGATGGAGGTTGGGATGGGACACGCCGCAAGAATTGAGTGGGTAATTACAGTCTTAGACCGGTCTTCACTCTTGGGCGAGAATAAGTTTCGATTTGGTTTCCCCATAGTCTCCGTAGTCTTCTTCTTGAGGGCAAATCGCATGCAGACATTCACTGTGACAGAAAACCGTCCAGAAGCCACCCAGGCTTACCATCCACATGACTGCACAGGGTGCGGATAGGGTGCATCTGGACCATAGATGGGCGAAGACCGCACGGGATGCCATCGAACAGAACAACAGAACATCCGCATGGTTTCCATGGTGGGGGACACTCAGGGACCCTTTAGCCGACTTAGCGGAACTAGTTGCTGAATGCAGTTGCTTTCTGATCCTCTCCTGCAGGTTGGGCCCTGAAAATGGTAGAGTTTATAGAGGAATAGTCTTCAAGCAGTCCTTTGAAAGGCTGTCCATGTTGGCCGTTCTTCGGGACTGCCCGTTCTGAAAAACAGAAAACACCGACGACCTGGTTCCAGGTGCCCACAACCTTCCGGGAGATGTTCTTGTTCAATGCAGCAGTGATGGGCTTCGGGAATTCCAAGTGGATGGACATCATCTTGGACCAGCTCCTCGCTTCAGTGAACGGTACGGGCCGGGTACGGGCCGGTATGGCCTGAGTTGTTGGGCATGGTGCAAGGCTTTTTTGATTCTCAATGATCTTCATGCAGAATCCTTAGACATCAAGTTTGGCCTGCCCAGAACTTTTCCCGTGTGCGGAATTGGGCAGATGAGCTGATGAAGCTGAACTTAACTCGGCTTTGGAGGGTGGATGAAGCCTCCAGGCTCTAGAAGATCCTCCAGGTTTTCAGGGTTGGGGAAGGATGGCTGCCCGCAGCGGAAGTCAGTTTGGGAGAGTGTCGTGGTGCAACCAGGGTAGATGATGTTTGACGGTTGACATATGTTGACATTCCAGGACTACGGCCTACGCGAACGTGTGTGTCGTCCCTCCAGGTGCCAGGGACGCTGGAACTCTGTGGACCTTCAACACATCTGTTACCCACACCTGTCTTTACCATAATATAAGCGTCAACATCAACTCTTGTGGATCTTCACATCATCAACACATCATCAACCACATATGATCTTGCCCCCCTGGCGCCACCCGAATCCCCTCAGGTCTGGGACGGGACCGACGGGGGGCTTGCGCACCGAGGTTTGACGCTTTGGTCGTGAACATCGCCAACTCCTACCGTTTGCAGGACGTGGACGCTACTAATTCGGGGCTCCTGGCCGTGGGATTGGGAGAGCGCCGCTGAACAGGTGAACAGTGAAGAGTGAACCGGTGAACCTTCTTATGATGTCAGGGAGACTGAACATAAAAGGAGTCAGGGCATCGCACGGCACAGTGGGACTTCGCCCGGCACCGCCACGTTATCCGCGTTGAATCGATCATCTTCACCCGGTCGAAGCTGCACCGCATGCCACTGGCGGTCGGTGCGGCTGGAAGAAGCCCCCTGCAAACCAAAACTATATAGTATATATGTATGTATATATATTTATATAATATATATACCTGGAATGAACACCGAATTATTTATTTTTTGTTATCACGTGAGAAACAACACATTATTCATTTCAAGTTCTGGATGCAGCCGTGGGGCAGATGTCTAAAGTCGAACGGCACAATGCCGGTGTCGTCCGGTCCGCAGCACGTTTGGCTCACCTTGCCTCACGTCCTGCCCGAGTGATTGATCCGGAACAATGGGAGGCTTGGCACGGAAGGAAAGCGCAGGATGCTTGATGGAAGATCTCCAAATTAGCAAAGGAACAAGCAATGTTGGAAGGAGCATGGGGAACTCCCAAGAAAACTCCAAACAAGCATGTTGGCTGGTACCTCGAAGCCTTGTGTCAAGGCCAGCCTTTTCGCGTAGAAATAGCGCAGGAGCTGTGGTGGACCGGTGGCTTTCCCGACTGATTCCACCAACGCAACTGCGGGCAGTAAAGCTAACCGGCACAATTGCCAAAAGGCTGTCAGTGATGTGATGTTCCCATAACACTTAAGACTCAAGACTGCATGACTCATGACTCATGCAGGAACAAGCATTTACCGACCCAATGGTTCACCCAACCCAAGACCGTCCCAAACAAAAGACAGCCCTCACGGGGCATGTACAGACTCCCTGATAAGGCCCGCTGTGTGTTTTGATCTTTCCCACGGCGGATGTAAGTCGCTTTATTGCTGTACGTACTTGTAGCTTTGCCAAATGCTTGAACCCACACGGTCCGGTGAGACGATCGGGTTCATTTAAGGAATGTATACTCCTGTGCCAGTCCATGCTGGCCGGTACGTAACCTGCTTTAAGGTGGATATGCCTTACTAACAATGAAATAGTGGTCTGTATCATAATGTAGCAGCATCATCCGGCCTGATTTAGGCCAAATGTCAGATGTCCCTTCGATCACGTCGGCCTCATGTGGGGCGCACCTGACCGCACCTCAGGAAACTCCTGCAGCAGTGGTGCCGATGGTTCGCTGGAGGTCCGGCCCGTGGCGGGGAACACGGCCAACACCATGCATCTCAAAAGGCTGGATGGCACCGGCGGGTGGGGAGCCGCGGCTGGGGAGCCGGGCGCGGGTCTGAGGTCCACGAGTTCATCGAGAAAGGACATTGAGGGCGTGAGGTCCCAGTGACCCAGAGGGTGGTTCTGGACCCCAGGCTTCCAACCACCATGCATTTAAGAGGCTACCGAACCACCATTGTTTTAGTTTGGCACTACAAAGCCAGGTGAAACCTTTAAAGGTCTTGGAAGTCTAGGGTAGCGAGAACACCGGTGATGGAGAGCAGCTTCCCTGCGGTTCCAAGCTTCGGCATCTGCTTCCAGGAGTCGCAGACAGATGCAGGGTGGCGACAGTGGAATGGGTACCCATACGACCGCTGGATCGTCAATATCCGACGGAACGCAAGCCTCCTGGTGTAGGTTGAAATGCGGGAGATTTGCTTATGTTCCACCTCCAGTCCAATCAAAGGTGAGCATGGTTCTGCTAAAATCCCAAGAACTCTGGGCCAGTTGATTTCCCTTTGGAAACTGCGTCAGGACCGCTCCTTCTGAAACCCTTGGTGGTCCGACCGTTTCCTTCCCAGGAACCCCGGGTTCTTCACAGCTCGCCACGCGGCCGGAGGATGATGCCCCAGCCGGAGCCGCCGCTGATCTTCCCCGACTTCCCCGTACGGACGGAGAAGGTCACAGTGTCCAAGGACCTGCCTGGAGGCACAGAGTGGTGGAGGAGACCTGGGAGAGCTACCAGACCGGGAGGCACATGTTTACCATACTGGGTACCTGGGTGAAGTCGTCTGGTCTTGTAGAAAGTCGTTTGGATGCTGCGTTGACATTGGGGTTAGATGCAAGACGGCAATAGAACTGGAAGAGTATCAGGTCAACAACATTGTTTGGATGTTTGGATGCTGCGTTTCCATGCGGTTGAGGTGCAAGATGGCAATATAATTGGAAGATAAGCTCTGGAGTATCAGTTCAACAAGTGTGGTTCACCAGAGGTGTGAGCGGGGCAGAAGAAAACTGCATGTTTGGTTCCAGCAGTTGTTGTTGCCGTTGTTCTTGCTCCACCCTCTGCGATACCAAAAGGCATCCTTGGCGTGCGAAGAAAGGTGTGTGCCACTGCCATTTTCGGCAGTTCGTTTTTGGCCTGATACTTTCGCCGCGCCATTTAACCCTAGCCTTCAACGTTGATGTTTAACGTCGCATTTCCATAAATTAAGAGAAAAGAGTATGTCACTATGTTTTAGCTAGTGAAACATCGTATTTGAGGGCTGTATTCAGTTTCAGATTAGTTTCTCCCTGCACAGTGGCGGCCAGTGGCGCAATTCCTCAATTTATCGAACAAGGACTGTCCTCATCGTCCAAACCGTTGCACTTCCTTCATGGCCGCGCCAAACCACTCGGAGTTGGGCGGCCACAGAGCCTTCCTGCGACCTCGATGGGTTCCTTCCTGGGACCTCAACGGTGTCAGTCGTCGCCAGGCAGCTTTGTGGACAAGGAGTTCCCGGCGGCTCCGGAAAGCATTGGCGGAGTGACAGGCGGGGGAGCTTGAGTCGAGTGGCACTGCCAGGTGGAGGAAAAACAGAGATAAGAGCCCAATTGGCTCGGGCCCCACAATTATATAAACCATCTCATGCACCTCAAAAGTGCTCATGCACCTGAAGTGGGCGACAAGTCCACGATCTGAGTCTCCAAAAGACCTGGAACCAGGTGTGTTCCAAGCTAAGAAACAGGATATGAGAGAACAGGTGCCCGATTTGCGGGTGAAACCCTGTGCAGTTCCGCCCGATGGATCCAGGTCCCGAGGGAGTCGTCCCGTGGATCGCAGGAAGTCCTGTGTCCTCTTCCTCGGTGTGTGTGTCTAGGTGGTCCTTGGAGTCTGCCGGTCGGGCCTGGTAGGGTCTAGTCAAGTCGTGTTCAAAATAAAGGAACACATGGTTGTAACGTTTTCTCTCCCAGCCAGAGTAGCATTTGTTGCCCAAAGAGGCGTTCCAGGTTTCCGCCCTTTCCCTCCGATCAAAAGAGAATTGTGTGCTAGTGACCATGAGTGGATCTACTATGACCTACGCGATTGCACTATATATACATATATACACATATATACATGCATACAAGTATATATAGATATATCTATATATATATATATTCTAGTTTAAAGCAGTCTCCATAAGATTCACTATATAAGTGTTATTAAGTGTTTATGAAAGACCCCCTCATTCATTGACCTCCTTCATTTTGCGTGGTCCCCCGCTTTTGACCCAGGGAAGCCACATGGAGATTTCTCGGTGTCCTTCAATGATCTTCAAGGCTTTTCAAGGCATCCCATCAAATTCTGGCCTCTCCCACTTCTAGTAACAAGGGCATCGCTACTAGGAGCAAGGACGCTACTAGGGGCTCCTGGCCTTACTACTAGGAGCAAGGACGCTACGAACAGAGCAAAGGGCATCGCCACCAGTAGCAAGGATGCAGCCCCTAGCGGCCCACCGTTGCTTCCACGGCCACACGACTTGGCATGCACGCGGCGAGACGTACGTCTCGCGGCCGCAGGGGATGATGCGAATCCCAATGTGGGCAAATACTTGCAGGATCCTGGGACAGTTGGGGGAGAGAAAGCAATGAACTTTGAGTCGTTGGAGTGGATCGAGGGGGTGACACTGAACACGTTGGCAGGCATCTAACCAATTCGAGAAGGAGGCTGAACAATAGTGGAAAACGCACATTGAATCATTAATAATTCATATAATTACATCATCAAAAAAATCTTACAACATCATTTCCTGATTAAAACCATTCTTCTTACCTTTGCCACCTAACTCCAATAGGCTACTAGTCCCTTTTTCATCCCTTCTTCCCTCGTATCCAAACCGACCCAACACCAGCGGTTCGCGCAGGAGATGTTGCACTTGGTGGTGCCTGGCTGGGTGCGCCCCATGGAGATGACCCTTGGGCATAACCCGGTCTCCTTTCGGGTCCCGACCGGAGATGGAGTAGACGACGTGGAGGGCGTGGAGTCACCTGGGACGAGGGCGCGCGGGCGGTGGACGTGGTCTGAATGGAAGGCCCCCTTTGAACAGGATGAGGGATGGAGGATGTGAATGCATTTTCTGAAGGGATGGAGGATGTGAAGGGCGTTTGGGGCCTGTTTGGGGCCTGGATCACCGAACATGATGGAACTCAGGACGTGGAGGCATCTTGACTTTTGGAGATCCATGGTGCACCACCGCAAAATCAGAGGCAGTCTCTTATAGTAGTGTGTAAAACCTGCATTTGGTGTTGTGGTCTTCGAATCGAACATGTTTGTTCAACAGGGTTCAACAGGTTTCACAATTGAGGTGAATTGGCGACCCAGTTCAGTGGAAAGTGGGTCTGTGTGCAAACCTCAATCTGATAACATCGCTCCAAACACATCAAAGCCCCGAAAATGGCATCCTGAGCATCTTCACATTTTGACTGCAAGGTTTGTTGATCTGTTGCGGTTCTGAGGAGCGCCCAATGTAACCGGAACGGTCTGCTCAACCGACGACCACTGTTTTGCCATGCAAGGATCGGCAAGCACGCCGGCGAGTACAAGCTTCAGGGCGTCACCGGAGAGCCATGCCTCTTTAAGCACCTTGCCGCGAGGAGAATGCTAGGACTAGGAACAAGAAGCTACTAGCGGCAAGAAGCTACTAGGTGGAGGCCATCGCTATTAGGTTGGAGGCCAT